TGGATTGGCAGATACCTGACTCCCACCGCATGCAGCATGGTGAGCTCTGCTACTGCCAGGTCTGGGCACTGAGCCCTTCAGAAACCAAACCCTGTCATTAATCCTCTCCTGTGTCTCCAAGGGCTTGAAGAGCCTTAAAATGTAGCGCTGCTCTGACAGTAGTGGATGGTTAGATTCTGTGCTCTTTGGGACAGGCACCTAGCACAAGGGGCACCAGCATGCCAAGGTAGTACAGATACTACAGTAGTACAGTACTGATACTACTGATGTAAATTTGGCTCTTTGTGGTCCCCAGATCAGACCTGCTCAAGGTTTTCTCTAGCTGCCAGCCCTGCACTCTAGGATCTGAGCGGCAGGTTGGCCTGTTATGGTTTCTCACCTTCTGAGCATAGGGCCTTAATAAAGGACTTAGAGCAGGGACGGGCAATTATTTTGGGCGAAGGGCCTCTTACCGAGTTTTGGCAAGCTGTCAAGGGCCCCGCCCCTTGACAGGTGCCCCGCCCCCTGGTTGCAATCTTGTAACCAGAAGACCCACCCCTAACCTCTGACCTTTGCCACTGGAAGTCCGTCTCCTTGCCCCTAGAACTACTCCTTTGGGGCAGAGGGTTTGCCATCTTAGAATGGGGAAAAAAACCCTCAAATTATATACTAAAAATAAAACACCCATAATAATATACTTTAATTTAATTTAAAAAATATATTTTTGTCCTGATTTGTATGTGCTTGTGTTGTATATGTAGAAGTGATTACATTACAGATCAAAATGCAGTCTTATTCTTGTATATTTGGGGGGGGTGCAGAGGTGTTGGAGATATGGGTAGACGGGTGTGGGGTTTTGGGGGAGCTGTGGGTGTGTGTGTGGATGTGAGTGGGTGAGTATGGGGGGTTTGTGTGGATGTGTGTGTGGTATAGTATTTGTGGGGTGTGATAGTGTGTGGGGAAGGGTTTGGCTGTGGTGCTTGTGGGAAGGGTTTGAGGGTATGTGGGGTGTGCATGGGAGCCCCTCTGTGTGTACCCCCTGAGCTGGTCAACACCTGCCCCCACCCCACAACAGCCCAGAGCCTGAGTGCCCTGTGGTGCCTCCCCACCACTGCCAACAGCCCATGCCCCAGCGCCCCCAGCGCCCGCTCTGCACTGCCTAGCCGTGGCATGTCCTGCCACCCCTGGGCATGCAGCAGTAGCAGCTGGGACGAGCGCATGCAGCCATGACCCTGTGCACGCTACACCAGCTCTGGGCTCACCTGCCCAGGCTGATCAGCAGTGGCCGCCTGGAGCCCTTGCCATGCTGGGCTGCCCTGCAACTCCATCACCACCACCTGTGAGCTGCCTTGCAGCTGCTCCACACTATCACCGCTGCCACACTGAGTGATGGTGACAGATCTGTAGGGCAGCTTGGTGTGGCGCGGGCTCCAGGCAGTCACACCAAACACTGCCCAGAGGCGGCAGGGGGGAGGGGCTGCTTTCCCCAATACCAAGCAGCAGTCTCTGCCCAGCTGCTGCTGCCACTGCTGCTACTGCTCAGCCCCAGTGGGTGAGCCTGGAGCTGGCATTGGGGCCCAGGCTCAGCAGCAGTGGCACAGGACAAACTGCTGCTCAGCATGGTGGGGGAAGCGGGCCTTCCCCCTCCTGCTGCTGGTGCTGGTGCTTCCTGGTGCAGCCACTTGGAGCCCACGCGAGGCTTCCTCTGCCTGCTCTCCGCTGCCACCACTGCCCTGTGGGGCAACCCAGAGGCAGCAATGACATGGAGACACAGGACAGCCCCATGCAGGCTTCGGGCGGCTGCACCAGGAAGCTCCAGCAGCAGGATGGGGAGGGGCTGCTTTCCCCCTGCTCTGAGCAACAGTTTGTCTCACACTGTTGCTGCTGCTCAGCCCAAACGGGCGAGCACAGGGCATGCGGGGTCGGGCCTGTGCGCACTGGTTCCTGCCTGTACCGCGGGGCTGGGGTGGCGGGGACTGGGAGTGAGCAGATGCACAGGAATACAGCAACAGCCAGGTGGGAACGTGTGGCCCATGCTGGTGCCCTGGGGCAGCACCGGCAAGGCCCAGAGTGGGGCAGCAGGAACATGGTCCCGGATGGCAGGGGCTCTGTGGAGCCAGGCCAGCTCCCCTCTCTCCCTGCTGGCACAGCCCAGTCCAGCTCCATAGACCCCTGCCAGCCTGTGCCCTGCGTTCCTGCCGTCCCGCTCTGGGCCCCACCAGTGCTGGCCCCGGGACACCAGCGCAGGACCCACACTGCTGCAAGTCCGCTCACTTCCACTCCCCTCCTGCCGCTGCTTTCCCCACTTTCCTGCCTGCCCACCGGCCACTCCTGCACCATGTAGCTCCTGGCTGGATAGCCACGATGCAGGACTCAGCAGGAGCCGGCCCAGCCCCGAGGACTGGGGCGGTCACCCGTGGTCTTCCTGTGCCTCCTCACTCCCCCCACTTCTTACCTGAATTTCCTGCTCCAGTGTAGGCAGGCATAGCGCAGAATCCTAGGCAGGGGCTTCCGGTTGGGTGGGCAGAGCTGGATGGGGCCAGGCGAGCCTTGCTACTGCTGGGTCCTGCCATGGCTTCTCCTGAGTCCTACTGCCCCTGGCTCCTGTCATCTTTGACAGGTAGCCAGGGGCAGATAAATATTAATTTTCTAATTTTTTTAGGGGCCCCACAGGCTGGATAGAATGGCCTGATGGGCCGGACGCAGCCTGTGGGCTGTATTTTGCTCACCCCTGACTTAGAGGGTACTCAGAGAGTTTACTGTCTATAGCATACACACACCCAGGAATTTATTCTGTCCCTCATGTTCACTGCTAATTACACGCAGATTTAATATGCAGGTGCAGTAACACATTATTACCTGCTTCCTGCAAATCTCTCTCTCAATGCTGAAGCTTGAATGCTGAAGCTGTCCCGCCACAGCCCTATGAATTATACCACTGACCATCGCTGCATCCTGTAGATTACAGCAGTGGGGAGAATATGACCCAAGGGAGCAGGAGGGCTATGGCTGGGAGGGACAATGGCAAGACACCCAAGGATCCATGAGTATGGGGAAGCTGTTTGCAAAGGGACCAAGTAGTTCTGATGCTGGGTCTCTGCAGAGGCTTTTGCTGACTCTGCTTAGGAAGGAGTTGCAGGATGAGTGGTCTCCGGTCCCTGTGGAGTCTGCATCTCTGCCAGCCTTTGGCAGAGAGTGGAATCCATGATCCTCTCCACTCATCACATTGACAGACAGTTGGCAGGACCTCGACAGGCAGTCACGGCTGTTGTCCCCAGGTCTCCATCTGCTCAGCTGCCTTGTCTGACCCACTGAGGACAATCCTTTTCTGCTCTCAGGCTGTCTCTGAGGTTAGGTCTCGTCACTCGGGACTGACAGCTCCACAGCAGCTTATCGAGTTCTTCCTTCCAGTGTCAATTCACTTGCCCTCATACTGACACCATGCTTTTGCATGAGATGGTGGAAAGGAGAAGAGAGCCTTGTTGTGTTCAATCCAACATTTCTTCTGGCACCTCCTAGGAGTTTCTGGGGCTGGGCTCTGGTGCTCAGAGCCAAGAACTGGGCTTCAGGCCTTTCCAGTTGTGTTCTCTGCTGGGCAACTTTAGGCAACCCTGTCCCCTTCCCAGGCCTCACTTTTCCCATCTGTAAGAGGGACACACTGCCCACTGGAGAGGGTGCTGTATAGCTTGATTGATGTTGATGGAGAGTATTAGGATCATTAGCTGGAGTCTGCAGGTGACAACATCCTTTGAACCATACATGAAATGCCATTCAGGCAGAGTATCGGTACTTGCAGTTCTCCCATGACCACTATGGATGGGGTCGTGAGTGGGGTGTCTGTTACATTTGAGGGGAACTCTGGGATCTAGCGTACACTGAAGTTCTTAGAAACAAGGACTGAGAAGGGCACTGGGATCTGACTATAGACTTGAGGACTTGGCTCCTACTCTGCCCAGCCCTGGCACTTTCATCCCTCAGCACCCTTTGCAGTGCAGAAGAGAGGGGCTAGAGCATTGGGGTGTGCAAAGGATTTGTATTGAGGCTGCTGGAACCAGATCCTGGGTCTGCCCAAGCTCCCTGATTGATGAGACTGCCTAAGTCCTGCCATACACATTTTGAAGTTGTTATAGAGTGGATTCCACATTACACTGATCCTCTGAAGGCATTAGAGCACCTTAACTCTAAAAGGAGATAAAACAGGGAGAATTTAGGTCAGGTTCTCTAAAGCAACAAATGATTTAGGTGCCCACCCTTTTGGAACTTAAGCAGATACACTGTGAAGGATCTCAATTTCCAAAGGGACCAAGCCAGGCCCCTTTGAAATGCCTTAAGTTTGACACCTGAAATTAGAGGCCCCTTTTTCAAAATGACTTGCCCCAGGTGAACTGTGATGGCAGCCTGTCCCATTTCTTGAACGTCCAGATACACCTAGGGCTCTATCCCCTCACTCTTGGTAGGAGGCTCCTCCAAAGCATCCACAAAGCCATTTCACTGTTCTCAGTCATGTGTCTCCTTTTAAACTCATCTTTGCTGGGATGCCTGAAGACCTGGACGCCAGTTAAGCTGCTGATGTGCTGAATGACTGCCCAGTGTACTGACCAATACTGTCTCCTTGTCTCCTCCTGTTCCCCATCTCCCTCTAGTGTCTCTTGCGTTATACTCCAACTGTAAGTTCTGGGGGTAAAGACTGTCGTTTTGGTCCGCGTTCATGCACCACCTGGCTGTAATCCAGTGGTAGGTGTTCACGGCACTGAGTAATCAAGTAACCATAATTAATTGCAATAAAAATGAAAATGCAACCTGGAAGTCCTAACCATCCCGCTCTCCCCACCCTAGTGGCTCCTCCAGTAAGAAAGTATCATACTCATGGCCAAACCTATGAAAGCAGCTAGAGATGTCTGTCTACAGATTTCAGGGTGGTGAATGGGGACTAGCAATCAACCTCCTTGGGATCAGGATGCCTCTGAAAGCTGAGGGGCATGTTGGGCTTGTAACACAATCAGCCTGTGGTTGTATTTCAGGGAATCTGTTACCAATGAAGTCGAGGAACTTATTTAGGAAGGTCCAGGAGGATGAGGTGCCTCCAAAGCCCACCAGCACCGAGATGCCCGTGACGAGCATGGACAATGCGACTCATGCCACGAGCCATGAGAAGGACAAGGACTTGTTCACCAAGCTTAGCGACTTTGCCAAGGAAAGATTTAAGGAAGGGCTACAGAAAATTCCCTGTAAGTAACTGGCTCCTGCCTCCTCTTCCAGCAGCTTTTTCTGAAAGCACTGTGCACTGGACTCACAAAAAGACAGACCCCTCTATCCCCTCAGCCCACCTCCAGTTAGGTCCCACATGGTGATGTTAAGCACCAACTCTTT